ATAATACAAGATTTAAACATAATTCTCATGTTAGAATAGGCATTAGATATGGTTTATTTAAAGTTATTATTAACGTGTTTAATTATTCTCTAGATTTTGTTTATAATGGTTCATTTGGTTGATTCATTACACAGAATTTATTTTGGCGTATTGATACACACTGATCGGAGGACTATTTATCGTGTTTAGACGCTTGCAAATATATCTATATCTGCTGGAAATCGGACCTTGGTCGTTACCGTTATGCGTTATTTCTTTGCAGAACTAGATAATTTACGCTGTTATTCGATCGATTTGAGGAACTTTATAGAGCATCTGCACTAGACGTCTTTCAGAGCATCCAGAAAAAGTTTCTTTTACTGCTGACTTCTGCTTTTTTTTTATTGAAATTATACCAGAAATTCTTCGACATTTTGATTTTCAGGTTTGTTGTGAGGAATGAGGAAAGGGGAAAAGGATATACAATTTATTTCACTTGCCAAACGAGGCTTTAAAAAACTCCGCGTAATGTACTACCCCTTAATTGAACCACGAGTTTATCAGAGTACTGCGTAATGTTTGAACAGCTGCCTTTGTCATAGCTTGAATAAGATCTGCAGTAACAAATCAGAAACATTGGCCAGTGATGTGAGAAACTTTAATGTAATTTTTATTTAATCCCAGTAAAAAAATGGCTCTGTACAACCACTAAATTAAACGGATAGAAGGCAGTTTGTGTACATGTGATAACGGTAGACTCACAAATGGGAAATGAAAGGAAAAATTCATTTAATTCAACGAGCCACAAAAAAATCAGTATTGGTCCCATATAATTCATTTTTATAATTTAAAAGAAAGCGACTTCTTACTCTAAAACATGTATACACTCCAAGGAATAAAAAGGAGGTTCTCAGTCTGTGACTCGCTATTATTTTGTAAGCCCACGTGTTTGGTTCTGCCTGCTGTATATTTTTGTAGTGCTGTGTCACTTTGAATGATGGAATGTATAAATTAAGGAAATACTCACAAAACGCATTTAATAATGAAAAATAGCGAACGTCTAATTTTTGAAATGGAAAAATACAGAAACTGCGGGTATAGTGTTATTTTACAATCGGACCAATGATAACACTTGATTGATTTGCTTGGAATAGGTATTTTGTATACCGCATCGTGCCGAATATGACCATCATAAGAATTCAAGTATAAATCATGCCATATTTGAGAAACTTTCGTTTTGAGTTTCATGAAAATTAGTGGTTACATTGGACTAATACAAAATTAAATTAAATTCGAAGATGCCTGTCTTCTGGAATATTGCGCCGTGTGGTGTAGTAAACGTTCACCTCCATCGTCCATCTGAAACGTCGGTAAACTTTTACAGAGTATATGGCGCAACATCTTAGAATATAGCCATCTTCATACCCGCTGCCGTAAGAACTAAAATATTACAAATTTATATTTTGTAACTATTAATAATTAACCACATTAATAAATTTAATGATATTTTTTTTTATTAGTATCGGAGATTGAACATTCGGAAGGCAGGGAAAACCATTTTTTTTTCATCCATGTTTTACACGCAAATTTAACATATGTATTGATTGTGAAGTCCATACATTAACTTTATTTTCTTGCAAACATTGAGTTGTGCGTTATGGCGGAATGCTTCCCAAGGGAATGTATCGTGTTTATAGTTCGTGAAGATATACCGTAGCTCTATCTTTCCTCTTGCCTCATTACTACCCCTGTCTCGATTTATCACTGGTCTCACGAGAGACTGGAAAGAAATATTTACATCCGTGTCGTCGCAGTATATCATAAGGCCTCGAGGGCAGTGAAATACTGGAAGACGGAACAGTCCAACGAAGTGGAGGACATGAACGGGCCAAGCTCCTGGATACAGAAGAAACTTCTCCAGTCCAACTGTCAATACCGAAATAACTTCCAAATTATTTTCTTACAAATTTCCGTGCTTTGTCTTGGTCTCTGTAAATGATTTTCACGAAAGAGACAGTTTCTCGATTATATGATAAAACCTAAGCTGATGAAGAAGTTCCTCGACTTTGATGGCACTCAGAAGATTTATTATTATGTTCAGGGAAGCCTGCAAAGGTTCCGAATTCTAAGACAGATGATGCTTGTCTGGAACCTCACCACGCCGTTTCTCAACCATAATTATCTCTTCCTGTCAGGTTCTCCCTGATTCATGCTTCATGTCCGGTCATCTTAAATATTATTATATCTTGTTTAAAATTGAGGGGTTTGCAGAAAAAACGACATTGACTCAAAATATTTAGTGTTTCCATCTCATAGGTTAAGGCTTCACTTGTAGGGTGTTAATATAATTTCAGTAGAAATTGTATTAAATTGTAAATTGTATTATATCCATTTCTTGTCCTATGTCTGCAAAAGTGAACTAACTGCGTAATTGTAATTATATTCCTATGTTTAAAAACAAGCAATATCTTTTTTCAATGCATGTTTGATACTAGCAGTAATGAATTTTTAACATATTTCAAAGGCGCTATCACGAAAAAAAACAACTTGTTACTTTTGCGTGATTTGAAACTTCGAAGTGTCTGCAAATATTGTATTTGAACCACGTCCGCGTAATGAAAAGAAGAGACATGATGTTAGAGTGAATCTCCAACTTTACGTTTACTGTACTAATGAAGAATTTTCATTAGTACAAATAACTTAGTTATTTATAATATTGACCTTTAAGTTATATATTATTTCCCGGCTGATGTCTTTTGCTTATTTCTTGATTTATTTAATGAAGGAAACTTTGTTTGGGAAATCGATTACGTTGTGTAAAATGATATGAATATTTTTAATGTTCAATTTAAAATTTGACACAGATTCTAACTTACAACAAAGAAGCGGTTGCTAGCAGCAGTCTTAGACCACGTCGTGCTCTTACAGCAACCCTCACTAATACGAATAGTTGAGTGACATGTGTGGGTGCTCGCAGGTGGAGCTGAGCATCGAACCAGGCCAGAGCCTGGGCCTGATGATTCGTGGTGGCGTTGAGTATAACCTGGGGATCTTCATCACCGGCGTCGATAAAGACTCGGTGGCAGACCGCGCCGGTCTCATGGTAAGTAAGACGGTCTTTTAGTGCTTACAAATAAATATTTGGCACAATATTATAGGTTTTAAGATTTTGAAGTTTGCTAACGGAAAATCGCTTAGTTTTTTTTTATAGAAATGGGCTTTCAGTTTTAAAATGTTAAGTTTAAACAGTGACGCAATTAGTAATAAATCTAAAATTCAAGTAAGAATATCTTGTCAATCTGCGCAAGGAACTTTGTCTGTTAGATGTCTTCTGATTAAATGAAGTTAGTTAAAACAGGCTGGACATGTAACGTGATAAATTAAGTGCTTTAGTGTTATTAATTCGTACTGTAAAGAAATTAAGGTTGTAGGCATACTCAATTTTTTTCCAAATATGATATTTGTGATTTCGCATACCTGGTATATCTCGTTCTTTTTATTTGATTGTAATTATAATGGCAGTATAGATTCATAATGTATCCTCGTATATTTTTCCCTTGTTTACGGTAAACGTTTGACTAATACTTGATATCTACAAGCATATTTTTGTTTTCGGTTACATACGTCCATTCCGAGACACTAATACGAAAACTCAAAATTTATACTTTCAGAGCAATGAGATTTGTAACCAGGTAAATGGCTTTTAGCACAGAATTATCATATAGATATGCTATGACGACATTCTTAAAAAGGATTTTGCGCAAGAAGGGACGAATTAGAAAGATTACAAAACTCAGAAGTATCACTTTTTATTTAAATTTATATTATGCTGTGTAAAAATCTTTATGCGCGATTAAACAAATATTTTTATTGGATATTTATATGAAATAGTAGTTATTAGATCGAAGCAGATCAGAAAATTCATCCGACAAATTTTGATACACCAGCCTAGTACCAAGGCAGGATGTTTGAAAATAGGCTGCTTTCGGCCCCCTTAACGCAAGCAAGATAAATTTTCCCGTCGTCCCATGCGTGGTAATGCAGGGCTTAGTGTCTCAGATTTGGTGTCACAGTTCGTGGGCGATGTTAGGTCGATACTGGAAACACCAGCATTGCATCGAGCGCTACCAACGCTTACCAACATCTCTAATACAATTCATTTTTACTTTTATTGTTTGTTCACTGCCTTTTTGTATCTTTTTGTTTAAATCTTATGTATATCATGCAAAGCTGTTACGTTTAAATTTATATAAAACTAAGTTACGAAGCTTTTTGAACAAAAATGTCATAAAACATTATGCACAGCAATTAACACGAAACAAAACAAGGTCAATCTTTGGAACTGTATTGTAATTGTGACAGAAATAATCTGCTAGTTGAATTTTACTAAATTCGCACCGTGAAAAGTAAAACGCAGTAAAGGTAATTTAGTTTAAAAGTTTTATCAATATGGATAGAATTAAACAAAAGAGAATTTCTCAGCAACTTTATATGAGCAGCTACAACTGTTCTTAATGTTCAACAAGGCTGTCTTCTGGGTTGTTGCGTCGTG